GCTACCGAAAAAAGTGCATTATTGCGATTTAAGGGTTAGAAAAAAATCAAAAAGAAAAATTCAAATTTGTTTTACCAAATATTTCTTTATTAAAGAACTAAGTTTAGAATAAGTTGAACACGATAACAAACACTATTGTGATGATTAAGACATTTATGTAAAGGAAACGAGAAAACAAATTAAAAAGTTTTTCATCTCATTTATTCGATTACTTTACTTTTTATGTATGGTAAAGGAATAGAAAGATTCAAGTATTTTAATAAATTCAATCAATATTATGCTTGGCTATGTGCGGATGCTACACTTAAGTTTTTCTTCTTTTTTTTTTTTTTTTCTTCTCCCTTTCTCATCTTTTCATCATTTATTCTTATCATTCAACGAAATGGCAACAAAGCTAACGGTCAGTTCAAGGGGATTTCATTTTCCTTTCCTTGCTGTTTTTTTTTTTTTTTAATAGTTTTTCTTAATATAGGTCACAGAAACTAGCATGAATATAATGTCGTTATATACTTAAATTTTCAACTATAACGTTTGAATTGTAAAAAAGAAAAAAAAATGTGGACATTTTTTCTCTTCTTTTATTATTAAAAATTCAATTTTGTTACTCTTCTTTTCTTTTTTTTTTTTTTTTTTCATTTTTATAAAAGGAATAGTGAATAACACTGCAGTGGTAATAAAACGAAAGAACCACTAAAAATGCAACTTTTTATTATTATTAAAAAAAAAATTCATTAGCAAAAATGTTACCGTTTTTTTATTAGAGCATAAATAATATGAACGAAAGCTGGATATTAATGTATAATATTCTAAGCGAAAAAGAGTCACGCGCTTATTATTTATATACACGCTCGAGCGAGCGAATGAGTGAGTGAGCAACTATGAAAGCCGACAGACGACTTTTTATTTAATATCTTTTCTACTTGTTCGTCGCCGCAATTAACAATGAAAGCATTATTTTTAAATCATACCAAATCGAATTTTTACCTTTATGAAAAACCGTCTCTGTGCATGGCTAATGTAGATGAAACTGATGGTAATAAGATCAACATTGAAAATACTTTACCTTCAGGTTTTGGTTAAAATAGTATCCAAGCTGTTTTGGTTATTTTTACGCTTCCATATTTGTCCTTCAATCTTTCAAGTTGTTTTAATTCTACAACGGTTACGCGAAATCTCAGATGATCAGAAAATAATATAAATTTTGAAAGGATTTTAATTTTTCTTAAAAAGAATTAAAAAAAAACAAGAAATATTTTTATAGGGAGTTAAGGAATGACATGATATACTAGACTTACCTCCTCTAGTGACATGAAGAAGTACGTAGAGAGACCGAATAAGGTACATATAAGATTCTTAATTGATTGAGCCACGTATGTCTGTTTGTCAGCTGGCACGATGTGTATCATATCGGCCTAATTCATATGACGATTTCGCTGCAAGACGATGATACATAACTTCCTTAAGCGCAGAAAGTACTATCACAATATTGTTAAAGTTCAAGGCCACCATTATTTTAAAATTATAAAAAAGTTTTATTATTCTTATTATTCAAATTTTGTAATGTCTCTATAGCCCGACTTGAAATTGATCGAAACTGCAAATGTTTATATTCATAGGAATCGCTCTTCCGATTAGAAAGGATCTAAAGGACGTGACAGAAAGAGATTGAAAAACGGTAAATAATTGTTAATATTTCAATTGCCCCTTTATGCCTTCACGTGCTAGTGGGATAAGCCACACGCCCTGAATATACGTAAAACTTCTTACGGGTTAAAAATCTTTAGTGCAATAAAAATGGAGTCATTTTTTTTTATCTAAAAACAAGGAAAGCATTATAGTGGACACTAAATACTTTACCCTGCACCCTGTTTAATATGGTTATTCATAGATGGGCTTTTGGAATAAGGCGCTATATGGGAAGTGATCGAAAGAGACGTTCAATCCGTACCATTTTCAATAAAAAACGCATAAAGGTGAAATCCGTAGGTGGAAAACACAAAATTATATGGACAACAGCACATACAGACAGACCGAAATAAGCTCAGACAAGATATAATAAAGGCTGGGTTCATGCCCTTCTGAGTGTTATGTACATCCGCACAAAATGAATATGTCCTCGTATGCACGTGCACTGTAGGATATGAAAAACAAAAAGATTAAGTCATACGTCATGCGTTTTAAGAATTGAACGAAGAATCGAAATTTTAAGGTATACAAAAGCAAACTTGATACATTTTTTAAAGACAAAATGGATCCGTGGGAACTTTTACGAAACAGCTCCTTTTGTTTTTTTTGTTTTTTTTTTTGTTTAGTCCTTTCTACGATTCCGCGCCTGCAGTGAAAGTCCCACAAATTTTCTGAAAATATGGCTCGTTACGAATATTGGGATTTTTACTAAGTGACTAATAAATGCGACATAAAATCGACAAATGTTAGTATTTCGAGACAATGATCATTAGAAAAGCTGCAGTTAAAATTTTAAGGCGGTGTAATTAAAAATAAGGGAGCCAGCGACACGGCAAACCCGAAAAACACAATTTCAGCAAAAGAGCGTTTAAAGTTTCGAGACTCGGTTTTGAAGAAATTATTTATTTTATTTGCTTTGACCACTTCTATGGGCGTGACAGAATTATTTAAAATATTTTTCCACTCTAGCTGGCGGTTATTCGCTCTTCTAATAAGGCTATGAAATAATCTTCGGACTTGTCAACTTTTTAGTCCGCTGAACATTTCGCTCTTCACCTAAGCTACTTTTATTTAATTTGTCAATATTTTAGAGGGCATTTAAGACAAACAGACACAAGGCAATAACATCCTTTATATCCTGTAGCGCATGTAAGTTTCCTTTCGTAATTGTCTTTTCAGGTTTGAGTCTTAAAAAGTTCCAACTTTTCACCAAAATATAATAACACACAAGGCTAACCAATTGACGTAGAATATAATACTCTTGCCTGACCGGCTCCCCCCCAATGGATATACGATGGGACATATACGTATACGCTTAGTTTCGATGGATGCTCAGTTTTAAAATTTCTTTGCTAAATACATTATACATATGAGTTGTTGTGTTATATGACTGTTTATATGCATTTATTTATTTAATTTAATTTTTGTTACGAAACTTCTTTTATTTAACTTAATTTTTATTAGAAAACTTTTTTCATTTCATTTAATCTTTATTATAAAACCTTCGAATACATAGTTCTTAATACGCAATGGCAGCTAAAAACCCTGAAAATTATTTTAAAAGAATAGGGAAACAAAATTTAGATTGACTTACCACAGCAAATCGAAAGTATTGCTACAGTGAGTAGGAACTTTCACTGCCGCAAATTCATTTTCAAATTATTTTATATCCCATAAGAAGAAACTGTGTTTAATAATCGCAAACGAATTTCAAAAGCCAGTTCTCGCTTTGAGAACTGCAATTACGATCAGATGGGCGGTTATGGCTCGATTTAATCGGGATAATGTCTCACTAATAATTACTTTTTTTATATCCATTTTCGATGCCTTCTTTGTCTCCAAGTCGCTGTGTAGACACACAGGTCACTCATACAAAACATGTTCTATACTAAACATGGACTTGTCAATGGTAAATTCAGTGCCCCTTCACGATTTGGTTTTTAATAATTGCGTTTTATGTGGTATATTGATGCCCTTTATGAAAGATGAACAGTCGTAGTGCTTGCGTATGTTTTTTAGCTGAAATATAATAACATCGCTTACTGAGCCGTTAAATAGTATCACTGTTACTTTCTCCTATTCAATTAATTGGTGCGAGGACATTATAAATCGTATCGCTTGATTTCACATTCTTCCGAGGCTTTCACTTTTTCATATGACGGTATGACTATAACCGATCAAGCAAGTGATCTTCATTCAAAACAACATTTAAATAATTTGTAATTGTTGTTTATAATAACGCTAAGACCAAAAAACGATAACGACAGATTTACGCACAAACATGAAGTTCGTCTTAGGTTGGCGGCTGCCTCATTGGCATCTATGCTGTAACTCTATCTTCAGCGCTAATATGAATTTTTTCCATAATTGGTTTTATTTTTCTTTTCGAGAATAGCCAGAGGAAAGACGGAGTTAAATTAGGCGGATCGAACTGTTGGGGGACGATATCACTTAAATTCTGGTAAAAGTCTGAAAAAACTTATTTAATATGAGAAGAGGCCTTATCACGTTATTAATCCTGACGAATGGCCTCACGCAAGCGACATATATCGATCAAACAATATTCCTTCTTAATAGACTGGCGCGACGATAGGAACTCACCAACTTAGTGCTTTGGTGCCTTTTAACCACAACAAGAATATTTCATTATTAAATAGGAGGCAGATAAATTTTGTATCAATGAAACGACAATGGAGATATCGCAAAATAACCTCGAAAAGAAACAAAAGAACACATTGCAGTCGGGCAAAACTGGCCATTAAATATCCTACATCATCACCTTTATCATATCTTTTATTGAAAAATTCCCAAAAATGCTATCTTGTTTCCAAGGAAGAGCATGTTCCATTTGGGAGGTCTCATATGAAGGCGAGCTCACAACGAATGTTAAGAAGCTTTGATAGGTATGCGACCTTTAAGATGAACGCAAATACACATCAAGCATGCGGACGAACAGACATGATTCAATCGAAAGTGATTCATAGTCAATCGACTTCGGGCTTGCTTTAACAATGTTACAAACAGCTGTACAAATTTAATATGCCCTTTACAACCGATGATGATATGATATAAAGAGAGCGAGAAAGACTCTACTGCACTACGAAATGTAAACTAAGTGCGGTTTTTGTGTGTTGAAAGCAATTGACGAACTTTATCCGCCCCCTTCCTGTGGTCGTTGCAAAACCCAACAAAAAAAAAAATAAAGCAAGAGAAATAGAGATGTGAAATTAAATACAAATCAATTTAATATTGAAAATTGTTTTGAATAAATGAATTTTAAAGTATTTCCTCTTTGATTCATTTCCCGTTTTTAGCTGGTTTCCGGTAATACAAATCAACGCAATTGGCGTGGCATACTTATTGCTTTACTGGTCATAACCATAGTTTTGGCATTGATTGTTACGTCCGTGGTAAGTATGATAAGGAAATACATGGATGGCTTTAAAGAGGAAAACAAAACACTTGAAAAAGTCAAATAATATATATATATATATATATATATATATATATAAATATATATATATATGTATATACATAGACAAAAAATTGGAAAAAAAAGCAAGCAATGCATGAAAAGAAATCAATAAAAAATTGAAAAGTTTTTGTAAAAAGTATTGTAACATACGTCCTTTCATATGTCATAAATGTTTTTTGAAGACCTATTCTTATCTTATTGTCTCTTCTTGTTTTGTTTTTTGTGTAATTTTCTCTCTCCCTCTCTTTTTTGGGTCTTAATGTCGTATTTTATAAATGTTTGCTTCTGGCATGTTTCGTTTTTTGTTTCTTTTGTTTTGCTTTTTTCTTTTCATTTTCTTTCTTTTTTTTAAAACTTTTACTCGTTATTATTAACACACATGGCACTGTAATTATTACATTTTTTTCATTACGCTCCTGAATAATTCTCCAAAATTCAATCCAACTTTGATGTCGTGCGAAATTTTGTTTTTTTTTTTTTTTTTCTTGTTCCGTTTTTCTTTTACTTTACTCCTTTTTGTTTTTTTGGTGATTACGTAGAAAACATCATATAAAATTCTTGCTTTTATAAAAGGTACTGCTCACACCCCCCGATGAGGGACCGAGAGTAAAAGGACAACGCATTAAATTACAAGAAATAGTTGATGGTCTGTTTATGCCACAAAAATCGAATGGCACTTGGATAAATGGTAATTTCAATGTAGAAAAGAAAAGCAAAATACAAAATCACAACAACAAAAACAACGACAACAACAACAACGTTATTCATTTATATATCTATTATCTTTTTTTCGATTTTTCATTTATTTTGGCGCAGACGAAGAATTTTTATACCAAGATCGTTGGGGACGCATTTGTCTTTTAAATGTTGCCAATCTAACTGAACGTGTCTTAATGTCTAATGTTACATTTGTAAGTATCAATGTGTTTGAATGAATTTTAATTTTTATACCCACCCACCCAGCATGATCGTAGTATTACTCTTATACACAACACGTTTACAACACGTTTGCAACACTTACAAATATGCATAAGAGACACTATAAAACTTTTGATCAGATTCCAAGTCGACTTAATTCTTGTCCATTTGTCCATTCTTTCCGTTTACCCGTAAATCTGGTTGTCGCAAAAACCTCAACTAGCAGTTCTTAGCAATAAAATTAAACGAAAAACAATAGTGGGCCAAACGGTCAATCTTTAATTACCCTACATCCCCTACAATCATTTATATAATAACCTTTTAAAGAAATGCCGTTATATTGGAAGTCATCGGAAAAGTGATTCGATGAGAACCATTTTCAATAGCGTTCGTTTTTGGAAGAAACACGTCATTGTACCAAATTTATTCGAAATATCTAAAAAATTGCGCCCTGAAAGTCGACAGGGGACGCAGAGAAGCTTAGAAAGACTCAGACAGTTGGGTCTATCTCAGCTTCTTTTTTTCTTGCTTCCCATTTTTTTGATCCCCTTTTCGTGTACCATAGTGGCGTCTAGAAAGAAAAATAAGTGAAGAAGAGACCTGTAAGATGAACACAAGAAAACAAGTTAGGTAGATGGATAGGCAGACCTGGACCGGCTTAGAAATTGATACTAATTCGATCGGTGTAATAAAAACTTGGTCTGTCTCAGAACTTTCGTGGTGTTGCCTACATCCGCACAAGTTTAATATACCTTTGTAGTAAAAATATTGTAGGGTATAAAAATGAATGAAAAACTACATCGCAGGTCTTTTAAAAAAGATATAAATAGATCATCGCTCGCTGAGCTTCTGTGTATAGAAAAATTCATCGACAAGAATTAATGTTGCAGGGCTACTCAAGTGATTTATGTTTTTCCTCATAATTTAACAAAAAATATATTTAACTCAAAAGTTGTAATATCAACAAAAAATGACTGCGTTTAGAGTATTCTTCTCTTAGTAATAAACTAAAGTTGTTGCTTGGGCATTATTCCAGCAAAGGGTTTAAATGGCTTAAGCGAAATTTCGTTACAAATATTTCCTTATACTCTAAGCGTAAAAATTTTCACGATAAACCAAATTTTATAAAATATTTTATATATATATATTTCTCGTGTTTGGTGACTTCGACTAAAACCGAATATAATTTTCTTATCTATTCTCTTTTTTCAATTCAACTAATGCTTATCATTCACTTTCGTTATTTGAAAAAGAAGTCAAGCTTTTGCACTTTCACTTAATGAATTTGATTCCAATTTAACCTAAATGATGTCGCTATGCTACATGTTGCTCTTTTATGCATAAATGGATGGCTATGTGTTTTATGATAAGAGAAAATATAATAATTTATATGAATTTATTTATTGTTTTTTTATTTATTTTTGAAATTATGTTCCATTAATTTTTTGAAAAAAAAATTAACAAAAATTATACACGACACCTTAAGCAGTTTGCAGTCTATCTATGTCGGTGAAGAAATAGTATGACATTAAGAAATTAGAACAGAAAAGTTCACCCGAAGTTTTTGGTACGGTTAGATGCCGTCATCGGAACTCCGCCGCTACATTCAAAACGTTCTTTTAAATTTTGCGTCTTCAAAAACTTTTTTTGTTCTTTTCTTCTCTTTTCTCTATTTCCTTACGATATCTATCTATCCTTTTGCGTTAGAACTGTAACTGTGCGTAAAATTTATAATAGTGTGTGAATTTAACGAAAGGAGTACAAACGATGAGCAGAAACCAGTGGTCCTTAGAGAGAACTTATATAACATAAAGAAGGTTATGATAGGGAAATTTATCACAAGTGTGCAAAAGCAGCACTTAGTCTGCTAAAGTGCGAATCGAAGCACAACGTATTTTTAAGTTGCATTTGAAGATTTATATATTCAGTTACATTTCTTACAAGTCTCTTAAGAAGAAAGTGCACTAGTCGGTAGGAAGATTTTTTCTTACACAAAGTAACCAAAAATTTTCTTGACAAATTATTAGGGTATGTTAAATTTGTGCGGATATATGTAACTCCCAAAAGGACTTGAGATTGGTCGACCTTTTATTATGCCGATCAATTCAGGATCGTTTTCTGAACTTTTAGATTTCGTTAGTTAAACGAGTCCCTCAATTTAGAAATGGTACGCGAGAATTGTGGTGTTGCCATTTCTTAATATTTTTCCAAAACCTTTTTTTTTTTTTTTTAATCACTACAAGTAGGCTTTATAACCTTCTCAAATATTATCATTCCCTTTCTTTTATCCGCAAAAAAAATTATCAAGGATCCACTTTTTTAGGCTGCTACAGTGCTCTTACCCTTTAAGATAGTTTTGTTCCAAGTATTAAGTAGGACTCTAAAAAAAATAAATATACAAAACATGCATAGGGCTCTGGTTGACCTATTTCGTGTTCAGCTCGGAATGTATTGGCTAATGTGTGGACGCCTAGTTATGGCATTGTTTTCTGCTAGGCTGTTTTTTACCGAAGTTCTCAACAAAACAAAACTTGAAATAAAAATATAGAAAGATGGCAGAAATATCGAATGTCGAATGCCATGAAAAGACAAAAAATGTAAAAAGCTTCAAGAAAATTAATGAGAAGTTCTTTTAAATCTTCAAACCTCCAAAATAAAAACAGAAAATTGAAAAAAAGGTATATAGACAGTCTTGGGAAAGTCATGCATCACCATTCAGGTCAGCGCCTGGAATAGGTTGGAAAGCACAGTCAACCCACGCAAATTGATGTGCATGATTGAAACGGTTGAAAATCTAATGCGCTGTTAAAATTGACACGAGCCTCAAATGAAGAATGTATCCTCTCATAGAAATTTCAAACCGATTAAGGAAATTAGTTATTAAAAGTTCGTGTAATAGTGGTATGATGCATATATGTATGAAATTGAAAACTCGAATTCCTCGATTTTAAACTCATTTAAACTCAGAATGAACTTATTTTTCATGAAAATGAATAAATTAAAATTTATTTTTTTTATATATTTAGAAAACTTTATCGTCACATACATTTTCCATATCAGCGGATAAGCGTTATTTACTATTATCGCACAATGTCAACCGACTTTTTCGTCATTCTTTTTTGGCTCAATACATTCTGTTTGACATTCAAACAAGGTAAGTGAATCTCTACTATTCTGCAAAACTGATTTAAATTTCTTTCATATGAAATAAACAGTCTCGCGGGAGTTTCCGACGCAGTTCGCTGGTTTCAAGACCACGATAAGTGGTCTGGTATTGTGGTTTGGAAATTTTGCTTAATTGTCAAAGTGTTTTTTTCTATAGTCATCCACGCGTTGCTGATGTCTATCGACTTGGCACTTTTGTAGACCTTTGACGACTGCAGATATCCGACATGAATTTGACGTTACTTGTTTAAGTACCCGGTACGAGATATTTGCAAATACTTTCAATAAGTTTAAGACTTGGACGACTTTTCTCCCGGATATATATTTGGACAATAAATTTTACATGTAGCGTATTCGAATTACTTGCGCGAAAATGAAATATTGAATTATGCAATAATGTACTATGTAACATACGTTGAATTAAATTTGAACTCTAGTTTTCAGCAAATGTTTGAAAAAAAAAAAAATGTAAAAACAAACCATTTATCCACCTTGTAAGACATTTATATCAAATACACCTCACTGTTGACAAATTGATATCTTTACATTCATTATCACTCAATTATTGTGTTCTTCTATTAGCGGTTATGTAATACAATTTTGCATTTACTTTAATATTTTTAAATCAAACCTGCAGGTATCATGTTATGTTTCATAAATTCTCTCATAAAATTCTTTTGTTCGCTTTCTCTTTATGTCACAGCGAAAGTATTAAATTGAAAATCGATGCCAGAAACGATGAATGGCCCTATTTGCATTATGCTCGATTCACACCCTATAGCAATGCACTTATTCTCGTTTACAATTACGACATTTACTACTGCCAAGGAGCGCGTAGCCAACAAGTGCATCGTATAACACGTGATGCTATACCCGGTATTATCTATAATGGCATTCCTGATTGGTTGTATGAAGGTAAGTGCATGCCGTTGTGTATTTGTGTCTGACTAAGTGAATGCATAGGTTAAGTGAGAGAGAATAGCTCTAGAGACAGGCAAAATGAATCTTAAGAAATAACTAAACGTAAATTGAATTTCCTTTGCTGAACGCATAACGTTTGGTACTTAATGTTCAGTTTATTTCAAAATTAATTACAGAGGAAATACTCAATTCGAATAATGCTATTTGGATGTCACATTATGGCCATATGATGTTATACGCATCATTTAATGATTCACTAGTGCAAGAACAACATTTTGCTTGGTATGGTACAACGGGTGATGGCGATAGTGGGGTCGGTCTTTTCGGTCTTGGTGTTGGCACAATCTCTTCCACCCTATCAGGTACATCAGGTCATACGGACGCATATTTGTATCCGGAAATAAGGTCATTAAGGTAAGTTAAACGTCATTTATAAGAAAAAAAAAAATATTTTAATTCTTTCTTTTCAACTGACTCTTTGAAAAGGCAAAGGAAATAATTTTAATACAGAAAAGAAAATAAAATCAATTGAAATGTAATATGTTTTTAGGCTTCATTTGAAAGTTCAAAATTAAGGTCTACTTTTGGTGAATTCTCCTTTTTTATTTTTCAGATATCCTAAACCGGGTACACAAAATCCTTTTGTGACCGTACGCGTGGCAAATTTAAGCGATGCGAATAATATACGCTCGAGAGATTTGCAGCCACCACATGTGCTTCTAAACGAGTAAGAATTATACACATATATAATGTTTAATTTTAAGCCATTACATGTTTATTCTGTCGAGCATTGTTTTCTATTCCCCTACTATTTTACATCGTATGTTAGAGATTATTATTTTACAAGCGCCAGTTGGATTAGCGAAACCGATGTGTGCGTGGTTTGGTTAAACCGCCCGCAAAACTTATCTGTGGTTAGCATTTGCAAGAGTCCGATGTTCATTTGCGTTGAGGTAAAAGTTAAACAAGGAAGCTATTATCCCAATAATACTAATAACTGGCTTTTGTCTCGTATATTAACATGTCTATTAGACTCATCGCGTGAGTGGTGATGGTCGGGGTTGGGTTGACACCGTTTCGGTGCCTTTATTTGCTGCCAATGGCACTTCCTACATAGCCATATCACCATTACGTGATGGCAGTTCCGGTTACTTCCGTCACATTGTTCATGTTCATGTGGCTAAAAAGCGTGTACTCCCTTTAACCCATGGACAATATGAGGTGAAAACTCTGTTACACTGGGATCAACAAAACAATTGGATGTAAGTTTTTTTTTATGGAGATATTTTACGAACAGTAATGAATCCATGCTCATGCGTTTAGTTATTTTCTTGGCATACCGGAACGTATGCCCGCCCAGCAACATTTGTATCGGGTTTCCGCTCTTCCACCACGCCACGGATCACCTTTGTATGCTCCTGATTGTCTAACTTGTCCGCGGCATCGGAATAATGACGGCAGTTACAGCTACGAGGCGTATACCAAGCCACCGCCTAAACTGGTAACAGCGTGGGATGACGATTGGGAGAATTCGGAAGAAGTATCCATCATGCCAGAACCATCATTGCCGGTCGAGCAAAAACATCATAAAACGACTAAAACGTCTGCTCAATTGCCAAATGAATGTCTATATCATACGGCCCAATTTCCGCCTTCAGCAAACGCCAAGTTTGTGCTAATCAATTGTTTAGGTCCAACAATTCCTATCACAAATATCTATAAATTGCACAATGACTTATCAGAACAATTTGCTAATAGCAACGGATTACATATGAAACCCATGGATTTGTTGATTACCATACAAAATAATACACGATTACGAGAAAAGATGTCGCGTATAGCAATGCCTCAAATTAAAACATTTCCGGTAATGATTTCGGGCGGTTATCATGCTCAAGTACGTTTGTATTTACCACCCGTACTACGAGAGGACGAAATTACTCGCTACCCGACAATATTACACGTGTATTCGGGACCAGGTACGCAATTGGTTACCGATAGATGGCATGTTGATTGGAATACATATTTAGCGGGTTCTAAGGACTACATAGTTATTGAAATTGATGGAAGAGGTTCAGCTGGTCAGGGCTATCAGCTGTTGCATGAAATCTATAAACGTTTAGGTTCGGTAGAGGTTTCGGATCAGTTGGAAGTTAGTGAATACCTAAGAGATAATTTGCATTTTATTGATGGACGTCGTATGGGTGTCTGGGGCTGGTCTTATGGTGGTTATGCGGCAATCTTGGCCTTAGCAGGTGCTCAATCAATATTTCAATGCGGTATAAGTGTTAGTCCCGTAACAAATTGGAAACTCTACGGTAAGATATACTCAGTCATATTAAAAAATGAACGATTTTCCTAGAGCTTTAGTCTTATGTTCTTTCTTCATTGCAATGGACAAAGATTCTGCCTACACAGAACGTTATCTAAGTTTTCCCAATGTTACCGACAATTATAAGGGCTACGAGGAGGGGGACCTTACAAAATATGTTGAAAATCTGCGGGATCGTCAATTTCTTCTAATCCATGGTACAGCGGATGATAATGTTCATGTTCAGCAATCTATGGTTTTGGCCAGGGCTTTAACGGCGAAAGGTGTTCTCTATAAGCAGCAAATATATCCAGACGAAGGTCATACTTTGTCCGGTGTTAAACGTCATCTTTATCGCTCAATGACATCTTTCTTTGATGATTGTTTCAAAAAACTGGTACGTACTAGAATTGTTTTAAGCTTTTTTTTTTATCAATTTTTTCTCTTCTAATCTATAAAATCAACAATATTTGTAACGTTTTATCAGCTTTATAAAAATACATTAAATACACGATATTCTTGTTTTTAACCCTCCTCACCTCAAATTGGACATGTTTTTGTAGCTTGATCAACAACAGGCCAATCAAACCGATTATTCGGATTTTTTGGATTTTCATAGCTTTTACACCATCTAAACAAAACTCAATTACGTTAACAATTCATAGATAGAGCGCAAGCATTATTTGCACAATGTGAAAGAATGTGAGTAATCGAGTACTCACTTCGCTCACTTACACACATATAGAATTTAACATGTAAGCAATTTAACGTCAAAAACTAAATTCAAATTTTCAACTGTGTTTTAATGTTGCTTGTCATTGTGTGTGTACATACATGTGTTCCTGTGTTTATTCTAAAAGCGAAACAAAAGAAAAAAAGAAAAAAAAAGAAAAAGAAAACTAGAAGAAAGGGAAAAATAAAAGGACTTGGCTTTATATTCTAAATGTATTTATCTTCTTCTTCTTCTTGTTATTTTTGTACGTTAAATAATCTTAAATATTAATTTATTATTATTTAATTCTATATATGTATACATATCGTCCACAAAATAAAGCCTTAGATAATATTATAATATTAAAAGATTATTATACAACTAACGAGAGAGAGACTGAGAGACAGACTGTGTACAGAAAGTAAGACTAATCTTATTTTTTTAAATCCTCCTTTGTCACTTTCAATGGGAACTTCTCTATAAATGAACCTGACTCGTCTAAAATCACGTCTTTTATAAACGAAGAGCTATAGCTTACATTTTAGAACAGTTAATGGTCTAAACCAACAACGGCCATTTTGGGATGTAGACTTCTCTTTTCGAAGCAGTTTACTAGGATAAGATGTCCTGCTGCGTAAATCTTGAAGATAGTCCTTTCAATCAAAGCCGTCACAGTTTCATTCGGCATCCAATAGTTGTAGATTCGTCGTCTCCCCATAGAGACGATTTAACTTCGCACTATTTGGCAGTAAATTTTGTAGATCAACAAAAACTTTTTAGTTTAATGTGGACTCTCATCAAATTTCCGAAAGGCCTTTTTTTAATTCTCATATATTTTTAGAATTGATTTGAACAAATGAAGTGAATGTTTGATAGCCGATCACCTGAACTAATGCGTAAAAATTATAAATCAAATGGAAAATTTCGAACATATTAGTAAGTCGATCGGAACCCTTTTATGTCTACGAAATATTTTATCAAGTTTCTTCTAGGCGGCATTATTTCATTCCTTCTAGGAATGTCTATGGACGATCAACGTGAATTCCAAATTACAATGTTTTACCTGTAGCGAGGGTGGTTTTGGGTGAATTTGTGAATGTGACTCTTCCAGCAAAAGACCAAAGACAAACATGCCAGACAAGGACCGATATAACAATCTTACCCTGACCAAGGATATATATATGCTTTATATGCTCTCTGACACCTATTCTTACTTGATTGCAAACCGAAAACATGCTCCGGTACATATAAAAACGTTCCTAAAAAATGAATACTTCAGTCTTTCAATTGAATTTTAAAAGTTACTCGATAGGGTCTTCGATAAAGGCTACGATTGCCAGATATTTTGGAACCGAATTTCGGGTCCATCCAATTTTCACAATTTACCGCTAATTCTAATGGCTACCATATGATTCCATCGACCTTAAGTGCGCATCGCGAGTTCCACGTACGTGGGCTTAATAGCATTACATATGAGTTTTCACATTGCGAATTGTAGCTCGACCGGTGTACTTGTCGTCTTTCGAATGGAGTTTTTGAACCAAAGTAAGGCAAAACTTACCTCCTCTATGTCTTATTGGCATGCATTTGTTTTAGCCCTAATCGGGCCACCTGTTTCTATAACGAATCGTACTACGATGAAGCTCACATATTAGATGGACGTACAGTACATATTATAAAGCTAATCATGATTTTTAAATTCCACGGGAGATACGCGAAATAATGAAACCCGACATAACGCACTCTAACTGTTTGTTTTGATCTCAATTGCAAATGATAAAAATACGACATAACTTTCCCATTAACTTATTATATACATAAACAGGAATTTTTCTTTAATTTTCAAATAAATATATGTTATTGTCTGCTTGCTTTTATCAGAGATGTATAAAAACTTTAGCTTTTTTAAGATTTAAGATATTCGACCAAGAATATAAATAGCAAATTTCCATTTTATGTGTTAACCTTTGCAAATTTATCCTCTCGGACCCTTTACAGATTGAACACAGATTGGTCATGAAGCCTTAATAAATATTTTTTAAAGGAATTACAAGTTTATAGAAAGAATACTTTTAACTTTCGGTAATAAGTACGAAAGTATCATTAAAGAATAGTGCTAAAGACAAACGAGTAGTCCTAGATATATATCCGATCTGATGTACAGAGGACGCTTGTTTGAAAAACAATGCTAGCAATAAGTTGACACATTTTTTAACACAGATGACGCGTTCTTTAACGACTCCATATGGTTCAATTACATTTTAAATCGTTTAGAGCGTGTTCATTGTAGAGCCTTGATTAAAGGTCACAAAAGATCCCGGTTCGATGAAGTTTGAAGGCTGCAAACAATTCGATAACGTTAGCTTCTTCTTCTAATTCACATTATATTAGGCAGCATTGTCTGCCGTTCTCCCACATATCATTTTCAATCAAAATTGCTTCTTCTTGTTCGTTCATTGACTAATACGGAAAAAGCATTTCCCTTACGTAACTTAAAATTTCCCTGACAGCCATCAGTAGTGAACACTTATATATATTTTTATTTGAAAAGTCTTAATCCATATAACATCAGATTTAAGCTGAATTCAACTCCGCGTAAGTGGCATCTTCTCTAAAATTACCGGACGACAAAATGGAAATAAAACTGCCAAGACATGAATAACGCATATTTACTAGGTCAAGCCATGGGGAATGGCGAATGAATTCCACAAAATAATATTGGATGCTTCTTGACCGAAAGAGCCCGAACTAGACAACGCGATGGACATTCGGAAGACAGCAGTGTGACAACAGCTATTTCAGTCGAGCGCAGAAAATCAAATAGTTACAAGTTCGGATAGATTCCTAGGGTATAAAGACTTGATTTTATCAATTGAGTATAGCCCTCAGAGTTCCGGGCACATCTTTGCCTTTTTCCCGAAATATACTTCTGGTTCGGAGACATGGCGTCGATCCTAAGGAATGCCTTTGTAAATTTTCTGCACAAATTTTGCTTTCAATTAATGTACGACACTCTCTACGATTGGTGAATCTGCGAGAAGGAAAGTAACTGCAGACGATTTGTCGGAATTTCGGTACGAAATCACGTATAGATCCCAAGCTATAGTTACGTCTTTTCTTTCCTTTTCAATACAAATTAAGTTAAAATTAAGATTACTTGCGGTAGTGATTACCAAAAATCATTTGCATTTTATTTTATTTTTAGCTTTTTTTCAATGTTTCACGCTTAAAAATGTATGCTTGTTTAAAAGAGGAAAAAGAAAAAAAAAAAACCAAAAACCCAAACGCACTAAAGTGATATCAATGCAAACAACACATAAACCTATTTTTATATTCCTTTTAATAATATAAACCTACTACTTTTTATCCACTTTTATTTAAATTTGTTGTACAATTTTTATACAAAGAAAAAAAAAAAAACATGTCTTTTTAACTATACACACGCATACATATAGAATGCTAATATTCCTTTCAATATGTCAATACTGAACGAAACTAACACAATGTTTACTCGTATGTTGTTGTTTACGAAATGCATGGTTACTTTTTTTTTTTTTTCTTTTCTCATATGCAGGTACCTCCTGAAACGAAAGCCGGTCTGGGTAATGGCGGTGGTAATCAGCAGTAAAAAATTTCTAGTTATATATATATATAGATATATATATATATATATATATATATATATGTATACACAAACAATAGTAGGAAATAGAGCAGAATGCCGCTATCAATAACATAATCAAATGAAAATCAAATTTTAACCAACAAAGCAAATTAAATTTTAAAACTGAATTCAAGTTTCAAATAGTTTCGCCATCAAAAAACAATGGGAAATGAAAAGCATATGTAACAAAAAAAAAAAAAAGGCAACAAAAAGAAAAAATATGGTTGTGAATAACTAAGCAGCACCTAAAAGTATGCAACGCATTAATTAAACATTAAACCCCTAAAGAGTATTATGCGGGTCACAAATAGCTAGTACGCGGAAAACCGAAAGATAACCGAAGGATGGCGGCATACTCACTTTATCAAAACGTTTGCAACATCCAGAAGGAAACTTCAGAGACCACATAAAGCATTGAATTCTGAATCGATCTACGCGTGTCCTGTTGCAAAAATTAAGATATCGTTTTTAAATTTTCTCATCAAATTTCCAAGTTTTTGCAGTGAAAATCGGCCAAAATCGGTCAAAAAACTTGCCTGCGATACTGAGAATATCTCTGTTTCGCTTTTTTGTGCCCCTCACTCATAATTTATAACAAATACAATGATGAACATTTTGACAATATATTCAAGGTAGCAAAAAATTAAAAAAATCGGCCACATCTACTATATATATGCTAAGGGCTATCGAAAATTCATTTTTTTTTTTTACTTTTTTTCAATACAAAAAGATTGAATATAATATTTGCTACGGCAAACGAAACAAGCAATAATCGAAGGAAAGAAAGTTTTTACGCAGGCAAATGCGGTTTGAATAAATTTATTAAATGATTTGATAGGAAGAAAAGCCGGAAAATTTCTTGCAGTTAACACGAGGAAATAAATTGATTGAAGTGTCATATATTACAGTAATATTTTCGTATTTCACAACAGCAAGAAAGAAGTCTACATCACACAGAAATATTGTAAGCTTTCCAACTGTTTTGTTATTGATGGCGTGTCAGGTAATTATTTATGACCATTTTCGCAGCTGACGTTCGATTGTTATTTGTTCTACCTTTTCAGTTATCATTTACTATTAGTTAATATGCCCTCATTCTTTCATGTTGACTTTAAGAAATAATAGTCATATATCCGTCTTACAGACATCCTCGTATGTCCGACATATTATTGTCCCTACTTTTATCAACTATGATGCCGTCAGTAAGCCGTTGCATATTGGTTGGAATTAAGAATGCCCTCACCCGTTAGGGTTGAATGTCTAACTTTATTAATTATTAAATATTAATTGCCTTAAAAGGTAATAAAACTTAGTTCCCGAAAATGAAAAGAATTCTTACTTACCCGAAGTGATTCTCAGTTGACCACAAGGAAGACGATTCGTAGTTGCCGAAAACAACAGCAAATATTAATGGCCAAAAACGAGGAGCAATCTTACTTAGACAAGACATCTTACGTACATTCGCTAATCGCATTCGCACCGATACGTTCACGAGACTTCAGTACATGTTCGATTTAAATTTCAAAGCGATATATATGTAAAGCTTCAAGCTTTAGAATATATATAAATTTTAAAAATAAAATATATATAATTTATGGAGTCTCAGAAACATATATCTTTGTGTCACATTTGTAATGATAAATTTAATATATTGATATCCTTTCGCAACGGACGCAATCGAAGCAATTTTTGTAGCAAATATCATGACGCTATACAATTTTCCGTAATGCAGGCATTGTTTGCTTTTCTTTAGCACAAACTGTTCCAAGTGAAAAGAAAATTATCACAATAATACGAAACAAGTTTTATATCAGCTTTCGATTCATTGCATATTAAAGAAAAGAAAAATACACTGAATTGAATAAGCCTTTAATTTCGGAAAAGAGAAACAAGCAAACGTTGCGTAGAAAGGGTTTGCCGTGGGCCCAATTTCTGGTATTAAACAACAACGTTATTATTTAGAAAGACTATTTATGAAGAAAACAATGGCAATGCTCGCTAGGCATTTTAAACGATAGACGACTTTTGTAAATCAAATTTCAAAGGAAAACCATGAGAGTAAATTTCTAACCAGGATGTATAAATTTACTGCAAATGAAAATCCGTCAGAATATTAATAAGCAATTTAAACAAACGAATCGATTTGAACATTCGATCAAAAGAAGCTATTGAATTGAAGACATTATAATGGGTCACAGTCCATCATCGAATACCTTACCTATACCATTTCTCTTCATGCAGTTATAGCGCGGTCGCGAAAGTTCTCCAAATCAAACCATTTTCAATAGTGTTCGTCCTTGGCGGGAAACACGTAGGTGGGCGAAATTTCGCCCATTGTTGTCAAAAATTACGACCACAAATATACATGGATAGACATTAGATGCGTAGGCGGACATATGGACAGACAGATAGACAAGCTTAGTGTCACTATATGACAGTGATTCTGAATTGGTCGATATAATAAAAAGAAAGTCTGTCGAAAGACCTTCCGGATGTTGTATACAACCGCGGAAACTTGTACCGCTTGTACTTCATGGGTAAGGGATAAAAATAAGCAATTAATGATTTTAGAAATAAGGTGAAGTCTAGGCGCAAAAGTAAACTTCCGTCTGTTCGTCTGGCCATCTCTCTGTCTGCCTAACTGTACCACCATTCGGTAAAAACTGAGAACACAATACAAAGATTTTCAGAATAAAAATACCTTTCTTCATACTACTATACTTTCATTATAAAAAAAGTAAAGACAAAATCGGTCACATCCACCTAACGTTATAGAATATGAAAATTAGTTTTCTCCGTTGATTTTAAACTGCTTCAGTATACCGGTAGCGCATGTAAAAGATTTGGTCACAGCCGAGCATTACTTTCTTCCTTTTTAGATTTCCATTTATAAATATTTTTTGATAGACTTTTTACTTATGCTTATTCGATAAGGTTTTTCTTTTTGAGAAGGAGTAACGATAATACCATTCAGTATGATGTAGTATTAGTTACGATATTTCTTGAGTTTACGAAAATGCATGCATCGTTCTTATGTAAAGAGGAGGAATCCACGATTAATGCTTTTGTATACAATAAACGAAATAACAAACGAAGTAAAAAAAGCAAATATTTTAGTTATAAAAAACCCGGCAACGATCACTCTACAACTTCATGTAGACTGTATATATAGTAATGAACATTATAGCTAACTATGTTCCATTCCGAGGTTGCAGACAGTATGTTACTATAACATAATAAAATATGTTTTACGTTACAAGATAATATATATTTTAAAGTTTATATTGTGTACACACATACATATTTATATTATAATATAATAGTTCGCAATTTTACAATGTCTATTGTGATTCAAATAACACCACTGTAGTCACGAGTGCTTTGCTCTCCTTTGATATGATTTACAACTGGCATTGGGTGTAGTTTATGCTAAAGCATAAATATGTGCGATTTTTTTTTTGGTAAATCGTTTCTATTGCGGTAGTAATCAACAGGTGCGTATATATTTTCATATCTTATTTTGCATAAATTTTTAACGACAAAAGACTCTATGCACTTATCGTTCAGAATTCGATAGAATGCACAGCAAAGCAAAGCAATGTCGACATGCGTCTGATGTAACGGTTGAGAAGGATTGATTTATAATTGTAACCTGTAAAGTCTACTTATAAACGAATAAATTAAAAAAAAAGTGCAGCTTTTACATCATTCAAAAAAAAAGAAATATTTACCGGAAAGGTTCGTTTATAAGATTTATTAACGGATACAGCTTAACGTGTGCATGTAATAAAAATAATAAATTGAAATATTTATGAATCATAATGCCCTTGACCGTGCCAATATCTCACTCTATACATTTCACCTACACATCGAATTGCGATTTTAATGCCTTAACTATATATTTTTATTTTATATTTAATTACTTTTGTAAAAGAAAATATTTATATTTTTATTATCCATTATTTATTCCAAAAATATTATTTTTACGTTAGATTTTTATTAGAGACAACAGCTTCTAAAAGATTCATTCGCACTATTGTGATTTGCAATAGTACAAAACGTATACTACAATCTAGCTATATACACAATGAATTTCACACAATTCAGTGATGATAACACTCATAGCATAAACAATTGACATCACAATCGTTGTGTGCAATAATTTCAATGACGGCACAATTTTGATTAAAGTCGTTAAGTGTTATTATTAAAAAAGTTTATGAAATGCAACCAACGGTTGCATATTTTTAATGATGGAACATAGCGTTGGCCACGTTTAATTACCCTACACTGTTATTCAAAATAAAACGTTATATG